AACTCTTCTGGTCTCCTTATTTTCACGGACTTGGAAGGATCCAGTCCAGGTAGACCGGATCCTCAGAGGATCCAGTCCAGGAATTCACACTCAGCCATTTTCTCAGAAACTCCTCATTTTATATTTTAGCTCCATTTATGTTCTCTATTCCCTGAGGATTCATTCAAACTCGCAGTGATAAATATCTTCAACCGTAATGATGATAGAATCATCTTGTTTTACCTCATTCTGACCTCTGACCCCAGCAGAGCGGTGTTATACCGCCATCTTCTGTCGGATCCCAGCAACTGCCCTTATTTAGGTGAAAATATCTAGAAGATTAAAATGTGTTTATCCTAAAATAATGATAAAGGTTGGAAGAAGCAGGAGGACATACTGAGGACAGGTCTGTAACAGAATGGCATCACGCTGGAGATCAGATTATGGTTTATAATATTCAGAGGGTCAGGCAGGATGAGAACAGAGTTATTATTGGATCAGTTTTAACCTTTAACCCTTTATAAGGTAAATTACCGGTTTTAATCACTGCCTACCCCAACATATGGAGTCCCCCCTCCATCCCTCAGTGAGGTCTAGAAGCATAAGATCTATATCTAGACATTCAGCATAGATGCTGCTACATGGCTGCACATCTGATTTTGGTATTGGACCAATTAGATGAACCTTTGATTGATAGATTAACTACTGGACATTAAGCTGAAAAAAGGGTTAATAAGTCGAGACAAAAAGGTAAAAAACTAATTGAAAAGTTAAAAAGTAAAGTAAAAAAGTTAATAATTCTAGTAAACAATTATATTTAGGTTTATAAACTAAAAACTGTCAGTGCCAGTATCAGCATTAATGCCTCTAAGGTTATTGGACCAAAATAAAATGTGTTTCTTACTCTCAGAGTGTTTTTCATAAATTTCTTATAGAAGCACTTTTGTTATTTTTGTTAATATATTCGGGCAAGTTGGTGTTTCTTGTTATTGCAATGAAATTATTTTTTGCCATGAAAAATATCCATATTTTTTATGTTACAAAGGTAATAAGGTTGTCCTGGATTCCAGTAACACTATTGGCTGGAAATTTGCCCTATAAAGGGTTAATGATTCTGCTCATTATACTATAAATTAACAATTTTAAGATACATACAATGTTTGTTTGTTTTTTTTATTAAAGGTTAAATGACTCAAGCAGATATTAATTAAATCGATAAACATGGTGGGTTTTCTTGTGGAAATTTAGCTGAAAACCAGAAAATTCTGCAAAATGGCAACTTTATCCCTCATGTTCCTCTACTGGACAATACTTGTTATATGCAGAGCTATTCCTGTTACCCTTATTCCTCTTATCCAAAAAACTTTAATGCATCTTAATGTCACCTCAGTTCTACTTAAACTGATAATCACAGAGATAACAGACAGGAAATGTAACACTGATATTCTTGGAAATACTTCTAATATTTCAATAATTGCAACAACAGCTTATCAGCAATGTATTTATCACTCCTCACTGAGATGTGTTAAAAATGCAGCCATAAACCAGAAAGAACAAAGGAATCTAAATGCATTTAATATTTTCATACTGCTGTTTGTTTATGGTCTAAATCTCCTCTCTGTATTTTTATTTAGCCCGATATATCATTAGTTTGTTCATCTGTAAGCTACTGTATTATAATCTACATTATATGTAAAATAAAGTTAAAAGGACAAAAAAAAAAACCTAGAGCAATTAAAAACTTCCAGGAAAAAGTTACAGAAATGATCTGATCAGTTTCCTGTTTTATTGTGAAATGCTTTGACTAACCGCTTTTATTGTGAAAGGTTTAAGCGGAAGCTAGTTAGTAGCAGCCTCCCAGTTGATGGCGGTAATCTGTAAACTAAAATACCATAGAAGAAGAAGCAGCAGCAGCAGCTAGCTGGTTCCGAGGTTCGTTGAGTTCAGTGAGAAGCAGAGAACCATGGCCTACCAGCTGTACCGGAACACCACGCTGGGAAACAGCCTCCAGGAGAGTCTGGACGAACTCATCCAGGTGGTACCAGCAGAACACACCGAACCGAGCGGCTCGGAACCGGAGCAACAGCCGGAGGGGGGGGGCTAGTTAGCTGTTAGCCGTTAGCCGCGATGATCTAAAGCCTGATGTGTCAGAAAATGATCCAGATCTGCTTTTAAAGAACCACAAATGAAACCATTTAAAACTAGAGCTAAAGTTCTGCTGCTGTGGTTCGGTTCGGATAAAAACCATCAGATTTTCAGCTGCTTTCTGAGCCAGACTGGGTTTCTGCTCCCAATTCAGTTAAAGTATAAAAGTAAAACAATTAAAATCCTGTTTTTAATTTTAATCTGAGAGCAATGATGCTCTGGTTTGATGAATCAAATCATTTGGTAACTTTTAAATTTAATACATTTAAAGCTAAAATGTATCAGAATAATTCTGAGTCATTCAGTGAAAATAGGAATCAAAGATTCTGAGAAGAACATCTGAAAAATCCATCACATCAAGGCTCCGCTGCTATTAATATGGATGGATGTTTATATTTATTTATATAGTTATCTGACTGAGTGTCAAATGGAAGTTATTTTCATTTTAGTGTTTTAAAGGCTGAAAATTCACCTTTGATTCTTTTTCCTTCAGTTTGTAGAAAAGTTCTGACCCAGAAATATGGGAACATTGATCCCAGTTAGTACCGAGGAATCTGATTTCTATCAGATTCAGAACTTAAATCCAGTTCAGATCAATGAAACAAACTGTTAAATCAGCTGATTTTCCTCTGTTACCCAGAAACCATCTGATGGTTTAAAACTTCTGCTCCNACCCAGAAACCATCTGATGGTTTAAAACTTCTGCTCCATCAGGCATGTGGCCTTTCTGGACATTAATCATTAATGTTCTCCAGTTTTTATCGTTAACGTTCTCCATGTTTTATCGTTAACGTTCTCCGTGTTTTATCGTTAACGTTCTCCATGTTTTATCGTTAACGTTCTCCATGTTTTATCGTTAACGTTGTCCGTGTTTTATCGTTAACGTTCTCCATGTTTTATCGTTAACGTTCTCCATGTTTTATCGTTAACGTTCTCCGTGTTTTATCGTTAACGTTCTCCGTGTTTTATCGTTAACGTTCTCCGTGTTTTAGTGACGGAAAACGCTGTGAACACTGACAGCTGCAGCCAACCTCCGTTAGCTTTGGCTAAAGTAAATGAGCAGGAAGTGAGGAAAATGGCCGCCCCAGTCCTTCAGAAGGTTACGCCTCTGAGTGCACCCGGGTTCTTGTTTTTAGATAAACTGCAGAGAGGATCCGACCCGCTTCAGTAGAACCCAGCTGAGCCCAAACTCTTCTCTAATGCTGACGCCTTGTCTGTGTTCAGACCCAGCAGATAACCCCCCAGCTGGCCCTGCAGGTCCTGCTGCAGTTCGACAAGGCCATCAACGCGGCGCTGGCCAGCCGGGTCCGGAACAGGGTCAACTTCAGGGTGAGTCTGTCCCGGGTCTGAACCGGTACCAGAGCTGTGCCTGGCTCCGCTGACCTGGGTCTGCTGTCTGTCCTCAGGGCTCCCTGAACACCTACAGGTTCTGTGACAATGTGTGGACGTTTGTTCTGAACGACGTGGAGTTCAGGGAGGTGACGGAGCTGGTGAAGGTCGACAAGGTCAAGATCGTCGCCTGCGATGGAAAGAGTGAGTCTCAGCAGAACCGCACCAGGACCGTATTGGTTCTGGACCTGCCAGTGACCACAGAACCCAGACCAGCTGTAGGTTAGCCGCAGCGGCTGTAGGTTAGCCGCAGCGGCTGTAGGTTAGCCGCAGCGGCTTTAGGTTAGCGTGTGATCACATGACGATGCATTTATAAAATGTCTCGTCCAAAACTAAAAAAAAAACTCAGGCTTTTCCACTTCACGTCTCCACCACTTAAAGGGGAA